GAGCGTGCAAAAGGTTGCTTAAGAGCTCCGAAAATGAACTAAGATAACCTATGACTTTATGTATATACACCCGAAACGCAGCCCCTAATCTTGAGATATGGGAGTTTCCGAACCCTAAATTGTAGGATCCCTATTATAAGGACCCCTAAATAAGGTACCCCTAATTTTATGAAACTCCCATATCTTGAGAAGCCCTCACATCACATGGTCTGAGGGCTGCTCCAGAGGTCTTGAAGGCTCAAAAGCTCATGCCAGACAAGCTACAGCCCAAAACCTACGGTTGATGATTGATATAAATCCTGCAATTCCTTATGCCTTAATGACCCTAGACTAGGGGAATTTCGGTATACTCCGTATTATGGGTAATGCAGGATTTATATCATCAACTGTATCGATTCAAACGTGCTGAAGCCCCACTGTGCAAGCTTCCAGGCTAGTGGGTAGTTCTCTAAAATAGGGCCCTTTTTAGGTACCGAAAATAATACGGCACCCCTGCCCTGAGAACTACCCATATAATTACACCCTTGTGGAAAGCTTTATAGATCCTTTCGAGGAGCATCTAAAAGGACCCTAATTTACCCCATTAGGGTTTGGGGGATCGCTCATGATCCAAGGCCTTCAGCATGTCTGCTGTCCATGCGAGGTCCGCCAAGATATGGCACAGCCTCGGCTTGTGCTTAGGGCTTAAGTAGGGCAAGTAGGGTATCTCGGGTGCCTCTAGAAGTCCCTGAATTTAGCGGTCTCTTTGAAGGGGTTTTCATGATGACTATTTCCTCTGTCTGGGCGCAAGAAATGCGTAATCTCCAGGCCCCCGCCACTCCAATGTACCTCTGCGAAGATCCCGTCGAACCATGCTACAAAATCAATGAGCAACGATTTCAATGCTCCCCTAAACCCTAAACCTACCTTGTGCTCCATAAACCGTTGGAAATTTTTCGGGATGCACTTAACTGGAAGCCAGGCGGCTGGTCCCCATTGGCAGTGTAGACCTACCAGGGTTCAGGACATCAGGGCGTAACCTCTTCCTGGACCCCAAGGAACCTACCTTTTTAGGGTTCCCTGATATCATTTTCTTTATATAAATCCTTAAAAGGTAGGTTACTTGGGGTTAAGGTTCGGGTTTAGGGGTTAGGCTTTATTTTAATGGGCTCTTTTCCGGCTGCTCTTGCGTCCGAAACCCCGATTCGACGGAGCCTGTGTTGGTTTAGGAATTAGGGCTTTACTGAGGCTTTTGGCTTGGGATTCGGACCTGTGGGCTTTTTGGGCTTAGGATGCTGATACGGTTGGTGATAAATATACATCCTGCATTACCTTATGCCTGAATGACCCTAAACTATGGGAATTGTGGTATATTCCTTATTATGGGTAATGCAGGATTTATAGCATCAACCGTAGGACATTTACCCGAGCACCCATGGCTTTCATTCTCCAGCTTGTGAAACACATGCACTGGAACCTCATCGTCAAACAGCTTACTTTAAGCTAGCATATCACCGAGGGTCATACCCTATCGTTTCTTTCAGAGTACCTAATGTGACTGTGAGGATCTCTTACACAGAAAAGTAAGTACCTTAAACAAGGGGCAGGGTATGAGCCTATAGGCAGGGGCAGGGCTCCGTTTTGGATAATATGGTTTCCTTCCTGAACAACAACCCAGCAACCAAACTGAAATCCCTCCTCACTTAGCCCAGGAGCTCAGCTACCTTCGTGGCGGGTTAATCTTCGTATACATACATACAGACATACCTACATACATACCTACCTACGTACATACGTACATGCATGCCCAGTGGATTCGGGACTTTGTGGTACCAAAGGAAACGACCTTGCAATATTGGGCATGCTTCCCCTTTACCCTTAACCTGTCGTTACCCTAGGAAGAACTCAAGAGTTTCATGCAGGCAGAAGCCACAACCACAAGTTAGGATTTTACGCTTGGGACGTGCTTGGAGTGTAAGGGAAAGGTAGGGTTTAGGGGTTTGGGTGTTTAGGGCCTTAGGGTGTAGAGGTTAGAGGTTTAGGGGTTTAGGGGTTTAGAGGTTTATAGAGGCTTTTAGGGGTTTAGGGCCTTAGGGGTTTAGGGTTTAGGGGTAGGGCTGCAGGTCGGTGATGACGCTGAAAGACCGTAGACCTTCAGCCCTGGAAGCTCTCCTGGCTGTTCAGTGCACCGTTGTATCTAAGCCATAAGAGGGTTTAGGATACTGCTTTCAATATTCTCTTGGGTTTTACATGTCCAAAAATAAAGCTAAGTCCTAAGGAGACTATAGGTATAGAGGTATAGATAACCGGACGTCATGGGGTTGAAGGAAAGTCGACGGGCCGAAGGGATGACGAATGAATCTTGATACGGCCCCCATCCAGTAAGAGTCTATAATAGGGCTACTATTAATTAAGGTCCTACTATATCCATATTATGAATACTATTCAACTATTCCTGAGTGGGGGCCGTACCCAAAATGAATCTTGGTATTCGTTCGAAGTTGTACGACCCCCCATGCACTCTTATCCAAAGAAGCCCTCGAACCCGTGTAGTTCCCCATAAATAGCCTATATAGTGCCCTTATAGTTCTAGAAGCCTAAATACCCAGCCTTGATAATTAGAATACGGTTTAGGGGTATATAAAACCATAGTTGTAATAAGGGACCACCCAAAATAGTAATGGCAATTATTTATCTAAGATCTACTATTTAAGTCCCTATAGTACTCAAATCGAAAAGACCAATTCTGAAAGAGAGCCAAGACAAAGGTCGATTTAGACATCCGCCCAGGCGCGTTGAGCACGACTTTGTCGGGCCTAATCGAGCACGGAGGTATCGGCGGATTAGGCTGTGGGCGCTTTGGGGTTTAGGTATTGCATATTGAAGCTTAAGATTGAAGCTTTGGATTTAATTGAAAGGTTAGGGCTTGAGGGTTGCAGGGTTCAGGGATTCGGACTTCAGCCAACAAAGGGTGGTTGTTGTGCCGACTATTCACGGAGCTGTTTGAAGGGCTCCTTATTTCATGACTTTTGGGTTTAGGGGTTTTGGGTTTGATCGTGCTTTTTTGACGATTTTGCTTAGGCTTTCATGCGAGAGTATCAAAGGCGAAATCTGATACTAAGTCCTGCAGTCTCACGGCACAACTCACATCCCCTATGTCAGGGTTTGGAGTGTTGAGGTTTTGGTTTATTGCTTTAATACATGATTTTGCAGGTCTCGATAAGGGTTCCTATAAGGGTCCATAGGTGTCTGCCATAGGACCTGCAAAGCAACCTTTTTGAAACGCGCAGAAAACGATTGAAATGCCGAAATCCAGACTGCGATCGGCCAGCGCACTGGCAGGATTCATGGCTCCTGCCGGAAGACGAAAACCCTAAACCCTAAACAGCTAAATCCTAAACTCCTAAACCCTAAACCACTATTTGAATGCTAAACTCCCTAAATAAACCCTAATCCACCGAATTCTAAATTTCCTAAACCCTAAACTCTCAATGCCTGAAGCCGAAGACCCTGCATGCGAAGCTCCGAGATCTGAAAAGCCCTACAGCGTCCCGATACAGCCCATGCACTCAAATCGCCCGGAACACAGACCTTAGGTGCTTATGTTTGAGGGTTCCGTTAAGGTTTCAAGTTTTTTTTCTTAAAGTTAAGGGTTTAATTTGGGTTCAGAGGTTAGCAATTTTAGTTTTGGTTTGCAGGCTAAGGGTTTGGGTTCCCGATTATTTGAGTCTTACCCCCACATGCGGCTAGGTCGCAGTCTCATTCGCGAAGTTTTGGCGTCAGAGGCCCGGCAAAGGCCATCGCTATTTCATTCTCTCGGCAGTGATTTGAGCCAGGAGCAGTGCAGGAATTGCGTCACCCATCGGCCCCACAGTAGATCCTTTTTGGGGTTCACATGTAGAATCCTATAAGGTAGTCCCAAAACTTAGTTGCCAAGTTCATAAGCCCCCCAAAAGTCTGCACTTTTAGTTTCATAGTGGGTAATACTATCCACTCAGCTACTAAGAAAAGGAACTACTATGGGCCCTATGAGTACAGATGAATGGCTCTGAACATCGGATTTGAGGCGTTTAGGGTTCACGACTTTGCGGCAGATTCCCAAAAGTTGGAAACCCAACAGCCTCAATCCTTAAGAGCACTGTAATGTATAGGGAATCCCAGCACTATTTGGCCTTAATCCGGTTTCCAGCTTCATGGGGCTTACTGTACCCTAAACCCTAATTCCTAAACCCTAATTCCTAATTCCTAAGCCCTATTCCTAAACCATAATTCCTAATAGGGGTTTTCTGTATAAGCCGTACAAGCCCCCTAAACATTGAAGACCTCAACCCCTCAACTGGTTACTGTAGACCTTCGGGCTTCTGGGTTTGCGGGTCTAGCTTTGTAGGGTTTACCCAGAGGTTCCATATGTACTGTTGATGATATAAATCCTGCGTGAGTCATAACAAGGAATATACCATAATTCCCATAGTTTAGGGTCCTTAAGGTAATGCAGGATTTATATCATCAACCGTACGACTACTAGGGAAGTAGGTCCCAAAAGACAATCCTCAGTATGGTTTTGGGGAGCTAATTCCATACTGGTAGTGTATATGGACCCCCTTGGGCAGCAAGAGGTTTAGGACACAGGGTAAAAAGACAGGTGTTTGGAGTTGACAAGATAACGCAGAAGCGGCTTCCATGAAAGGCTTACAATGATCGGAACCTGTGCCCGACAAAGTCTACCATTTGGAGATTCCTTGCTAACCCTTCATGTTTGGTTGAGGGTGCGGGCATGGAGGGTCTACAGTATAGTCGATGGTTTGGGAAGCATCTATTTCACTTGCGGTTCTCCGGACATGCATCCCGGCGCACCTGTCCAATCTGTCCAACGACAAAAGCAGTAGCAAAACAGTGGATGCCTGCACGACCGAAAGCATCGGCAGGTCCAGGCTCATCATCCCGATTTCGCAGTGCAGAGCTAGCAGGAAGCTAGGCCCGCACCGATCCTGAAGGAAGCTAGTTGGGAGGTTGGCGGCCAATCAGGCGAGAAATCGTTCCTTCACCAGTCCAGAGTGTACACCCTCCAGGGTGGTCAGACAGTCATGGATCTCACCTGCAAAGTGCCGTCTGATTACATGTTTGTACGGCGGAAGGTTGGTACATTCGAGCAAAATTGCTTTAGTACCAGGAAAGCGGTCTAAAGCAGTGGCTACCAATCGCTCCATTTCAACCTCTGCACGTTCGAAGTCGAGGTGGGCCAAATCTTGGGAGATCACCTCGTAGAGGTGCATGGACTTGTCCAACCCGACTACCGGACCTTCAAACCCATCGAGGGCAGTGCTGTAAGCAGGCGACCCAAGTATGTGGGCATCGAAAGTGAGTATCATGATCTCGTCGTCACGAAAACGCGAGCGTAAACCAGGCAAAGCGACCAAGGATGAGCTGATGAAGGTCTTCTCCGTCTTTGCAGCCAGCACCTGTTGAAAATAAGCAAGGAAGCCACATGACGTGCTGATGACCTTTGCCTCGGCAGCTGCAAGAGCAGATACGAATCCGGAGATATCAAGGGCTTCTGGATCAGCGTTCACCTGGGATGCGGCTCAAGAGCCTAAAGTGAGGACAAATCTCTGACAAAAAGACTCTTCTCTCTACTAATTACGAATTAGGGAATTGAGAAAGGCTTCTGAAGCTAGACCTTGTCGCAACCTTGGCCACTTGAGCTTTGGGAATGATCTCGGTGTGCATGGGCAGCAAATAGGTCTCTGGGCAGGCGATATCCCCGGGCACGCGCGGGAAACGCGTGTCAAGCTGTAGTACCACCAGCGCAGTGGCCATGATTGCTGGTACGAAACCTAATATTGGGGCCCGGGGGGACTCAATGATTAGGAAAGGGTTCCTTTGAAGGGTTACTATAGGGGATTTAGGGATGAAAGGGCCTTAACAATTAGAATAGGGTTTTGGGGCCCATTTTACTACAAACATAATAAGGAACCCCCAAAATGGTATTGTTAATTATTTAGGCCCTTATATTCGACTCAACAGTGCACGATGAATCCCCAACTGTATTGGCTCTAGTGGGTCGAAGATCCTTTCCACCTTCGAAGGGGAGTCCTTATGGCGAAATGTCTGCACGAAAGTTTCAACCGATGATCTTAACTACTATTTGCTTAAGAACCCCCAAAAAATAGAAAATATATTCCTTATGGGGGGTAATATAGGGATTATTATTTTTATTTTTTTGGGGGGGGGGTTCTTAAGCAAATAGTAGTCAAGATCGCGCGTTTCAGGGCTACTGTGGTAAAACAGAAAGCCGTAGTTTTAAGGCTTCAGGCCCAGGGCTGGTAGGGCTTCAGGCCAGGGTTTAGGGTTTAGGGGTTTAGGGTTTAGGGGTTTAGGGTTTAGGGTTTAGGGTTTAGGGGTTAGGGGTTTAGGGTTTAGGGTTTAGGGTTTAGGGTTTAGGGGTTTAGGGTTTAGGGGTTTAGGGTTTAGGGTTTAGGGTTTAGGGGTTAGGGGTTTAGGGTTTAGGGGTTTAGGGTTTAGGGTTGAGGGCTTCGGGTGCAGGAGAGCTTTGAGAAGCCTTGGAAGTCGAACTCGCAGCGAGCCGTCAAAAGCCAGATTCCAATGATACGGTTGATGATATAAATCCTGCATTACCCATAATAAGGAATAGACCATAATTCCCATGGTTTAGGGTCCTTAAAGTTGTGCAGGACTTATATCATCAACAGTAGCTTGGCTTTCCAGGACTCCACCGGCCATGCAAGGCGAAGAGGACAAAGGTTTGCATAACCATACAGTCTGAAATACAGCAATCCAAAATACAAACTACTCTCAAACCCAAGTCGAAGTACTCAAGGCGTAGATGGGTAGTTGTCAAAATTGTGGTCCCTTCTTGAGTATCCTCAATAATAGGTGCCGTATTATATTAGGGACCCAAAAAGGGACCATACTTTTGACAACCGTCCATATATTTCAATGGCAAGCCCAAGATCCTTCAAACCCGACAGTCTTGCGGTGCACAGAAGGAAAAAGGGGGCACCTGAACCGAAGAGCGAGAACGAGATTCGGAAGCATCTGAAAGTATGACAAAGGCAACATTCCAAGGGTAAAAGGAGGGACCCTTAATAAGGACCCCTAGGTATAGACCCATAATATAGCCATTATATGCCCATTCTGGGGCAGGGGTCCCCATTAAGGGTCCCTCCTTCTCCCCTTTGAAGCATGATAGCTCAGAACTACCCAGACCTCGGCGCATGCAGCATTCAGCATCGACATCAGAAGTTATGGTTGCCATAATGGTATTACAGTGCTTTGATATGATATGGCATGAACAAGGTCACAATGAGGTGTACGGCTTGTCATGCAGGTTGAGGATTGTTCGAAGCCGTGGCCCTAGTTCGGCTCGTTGTTTGTACGGCTTGTTCCGTCAAGCATCTCACGAAGCCCCATACCTTGGCTGTGAGAGGCTAAACATCCCGAAAGTGCTGTTACCGGGGTACATATCCCCGAGCAGTACTGCTTCTTCGGAACTTGTGAGTCACATAGACATGGTTTCGAGCCAAGCCCCTGGATCTGAAAACATTGACTTCAGAAATCGACTGAGTCAGCTCTTGCGGACGAGAGCGTGCCGTGCACATTCTGGATGCATATACTTCTAGAGACAAGTTCGCCGGCTTGTGTTCAAAGCAAAACATGATCCATGTGCTTGAAACTCCACCCCCTTAGAGATCCCGAAGCCTGCAGTTTCTTGACTTGCCTGTCTTCGGCGTTCTTGCGCTTCCGCCGATGATGCTGTTGTGATCTAAGCCTGCAGCGAGCGTCGTCCTTGTCAATGACACACTGCCACTCCCGCAGCAGTCGCGACAGCACCTTGACGCGCCGCTCCTCTATGATGTGGGCCCGTCTCTGCCGGGAAGTGACCTTGGGCTGCTTCTTTCTCCAACGGCGCGGATCCTCCCTGGCCATAGCTTTCCGCTCCAAATGCCGGCGGAAGGCTTCCCGGTAGTTCGAGTTGAGCCTGTACATTCGCTGCAGACGCTGCCGCACCTTTGTGAGCTGCATGCCAAGTGAACTGCAGATGTCCAGGTACAGCGTCTGGAACTGTAGCCACTGGTTCCGCAAAGCCTGGGGGTCAAAGTGCACCCAGTCGCTCTTGCGCTGGAAGAAGGGGGCGAGGAGCTGTCGATGGTCAGCCAGCACTTTGAAAGAGTGGCACCGAGGCGTGCACAAGGTATGCCGGCCGATCCAGTAAGCATGGCGCATGTGGAGGCTGAAGCCTAGCTGCAGCTCCTGCAACTCTTTCCCTTGCTCCTCAGCAGCCAGGCAAAGCGCCTGCTCCATGCGGGACACAAGGTTATCTCCAAGCTGGACGCGCTCCTTCATCGTGGTGAGAATAACCAGGTAGTCCAAGGCAGTCGGCAAGTCACACTTCCGGGAACTTACAACAACGCCGTCAATTCCTATACAAGCCATGTACACAGTCACACCACTCGGATATTTCTCTGCACCCAAGCCCCGCACCTTGCTTCTGCCACGGGCTTTCGGCTTGATGTGGCTTCTAGCCGGGAGGTCAGGTAAGGCAAGGCGTACCACTGATCGCTCTTCGCTGGGCCTTGACTCGTTGTTCAAGATCGCTTCTTGAGGCAAAGTTGCAGAGGGGTCCACAGGACTTTCACGGTCTCTGGTCTCATCTGCGGCGGGCCCAGGCATCAAAGACATCCACTTTTCCAAGAGAAGCCGCTGTTTCTGGCTGAAATGCTGGCAGATCACCTGCCGGCGCGTCTCACGAGACAGGCGGCCAAGAAGACGGTGAATCTTCGAAAGCCGAGACCGACTGGAGGGGCGAGGTCTAGGCATTTGCGGCGTGCTTGCCCGAGTCTTCGCAGCGTCCTTCTTCTGCTTCCGCGCTTGGCCCTTCGGCCTCTTCTCCGCGAAGGAAGGCTCCCTGTTCCGGCTCGCTGGTTCCTTCAAAGACGCCAGCCATGCATCATGGTGTTCCCTCCGCTGCCTCGCCACCAGGGTCTCGAAGGCCTGATACACACGATGGAAAGCCTCCTTGGTGCCGCCTTTATCCGGATGGACCTCAAGTGCCCTCTGCTTGAAGGCCAAGCGGATATCTTCCAACGAAGCATTTTGTTGAAGTCCCAGGACGTCATAGAACGACATGTGAGTCTCCCTAAACTCCTGACTAGAGGTTGGGTGCTCATGTGTTGTCAACGTCATACTCGATTGTAGGGAACCCTGCTGTGAAACAATCTCGATGTTCAGAGAGCAGTAATACAGGATTGAAGCATATTGGGGGTTTCCGACAATTGGGGGGTACCTTATTTTGGGGTCCTTATAATGAGGATCCTACTATTTGCATATGAGCTCGACATGGCCTTATGAACTCAGACCATGGCAGTTCCTGGTTTGAAGCGGAAGGGTACTGCGATTTTCTGGGCCTGGAGGGCACATCTGCTCAATCATGTGATTCACATCAGAGCAAGAATCAGAACTTATCGATCTAACCCTAAACTCTACATAAACCCTCAAGCCTAAAACTAAAACCCTGAACCCCATTCCCTTGCGAGTCTTCCGAAGGGTACATGGGTCGCAACTTTGGGGTCCCTGAAACCACTTCCCTCAAACAAGGGCATATGGTCCCCTCCTGAAACTCTAAACCCGAAACCCCTAAACACGAACCCCCCAAAAGGCTAAACCCTAAACCCCAAGCCCCTGAAGCCCTTTTTCCCCTAAGCCCAAGATACTCAGCGACGAAGAGCGAGATCGTGGGCCCCTTCACAAAGTTCCGAGCGCCGGGCAGGTTGTGGATCGTTGCTGACGCGATCCAGCCAGGAGTTGAGGGGATCCACCTGAGATCAGACTTGATAAAGGTTTAGGTTTAGGGGCTTAGGGATGTAGATGTTTAGGGGTTCAGGGTTTCGGTGTTTAGGGTTCAGCTGTCTAGGGTTTAGGATTTGGGATCCACCTGGGTGTTTAATTTAATTGCTGGAATTCCTGCAGCAGATCGCCGTTCGTGTGGAGCGCTGCGAGCGATGTGATGAAGCATTCATCTACGTCCGGCTGACGGTTGAGCGTCTATGGTTGAGGGGTTGAGTTTTCGGGTTGTGGCGACTTCGTCGTTCCAGTTTGCACTTCCATTTGCGCTTGGCACTCCACTCGAAAATCATCTGCCGGTCAAGCTATGGCTGGTCACTTCCCCAAGCTCAATCGGATCGTCCCTCAAAGAAACAAACACCCTGGACTTAAGGTTAGGGGTTTAAGGTTTAAGGTTTGCTTGGTTACGGTGGCAGTATGGTTACCAGGCTCGTAAGAGCCGTACCTACTAGGTCCCATGACCCTGTAAGTAAGCTTGAACCTGCATCTTCAGCACGGAGGTCGGACAAGTGAGGACTTCAGTCAAGGCGTGGGCCGTTTTGATAGAGGGTCATAGCCGAAATTGCCCACGCCCAAACCTAAACATTTTTCGGCACGTCCTGAGTCTGACCACGGCTTCTGCCAGGTTGCAAAGTATCTCCGTAATCACGGGTTTAGGGTTTAGGGTGTTCTTCCAAGTATTCAGTTTCTGTGCGGCGAACAGATAAGAGCAAGGGTACTGCCGGAGAAGCTGTACCCCCAGACCTTATCCTCAAACCCATGAAGGAATGCTCGTAGAATCACCGAACAATTTGTAGAACCACCGGACAATCGAACAAGGAACTCGATAATTACTGTAGTATAGAATCAATAAAGGGGGCCTGGGAGTATAGAACCCTCAAAAGGAGCGCTTGTAGTATCGCATCGTGGATAGACGTCTGAGTGCCAGGCCGGTAAGAAGTACCCCCGCTCTCGCAGGATCGTCAGCCTCACTGTGTTAGGCCAGGCTCAGGTTCGTCATTTCAAGGAAGCACTGAAAAAGCCCTCAATTATGGAATCTACGTTGACTTGTATCAAGGGTCGTAAGCAGCAGCCAAAGGGCCGCCTCATACGTGCCAAGAATCGAGCAGAGAGTCCCCTTTCAATCCTGATCGCTCAAACTTAAGGCTCATACTTGCCTAGAATCGAGCAGGGATCTCATTACACTCCTGATTGCTTAAGGGTCTTCGTGTTTCAAAGCAGAGGGTTTGGGGTTCTGGTGCAGTCAGAACTTGGAGCTTATCCCTAAGGCTCAAAATGGCCCTTTAATGCCTTATATAGTATGGTCTTTGGGCCCAAATGCCTTAATATATGAGTCCTGAGAGCCTTAGGGTATTAGGGCCAGGATTTGCTTTAGGCTGGGTCTCTGCAGCACGGCTCGTAGAGTTGGTACCAGTAGGAGCAGGGAGTCACCGTTAGCTAGCAGGGTTCTTATGGTTTCTTACAATCGTGTGCGACCAACGAGGTTGGTGTAATGCAAGCTGAAACTGAGCTACTGAAACCCGCATCCTTAAACCTTGAAACGTCAAGGAATCCCTAAGGCTTCAATAAGGGTGCCCTGAAGTCATGCCATCGCTTTCTGCTTAGGTTCATACGGGCCCGTGGTTCATGAACCCACCCCTCACTAAGGTTCATAGAGTAGAAGTAGAATCTAAGTAGAGGCCATAAAGTGGGAAGGTGGGTTGAGGATGATTAGCGCTGGACTTCACTTTAAGTCTATGTTACGGGCTGAGGATAATGATGTTCCAACTGGATCTGGCATAATGGGAAACCTGGACAAAACATGACAGCCTCGCGCCCTGTAAAACACGGACCTTATGAATAAGAAGAGGGGCTTTCAGGCATATCGCAGAATCGGGACAACAAGGGAAAAGTGCTGGTATGGTATAGTGAACCCCGCCGGGATAAGATGATTCGGAATTCAACAGCCGACACTATACTATAAAGTCCTGAACCCGGAACCACCGACCGCAGTGATGGAAAAGACTAAACCAAAAAAAGATCCTAAGACCTCGAACCTCGCCCTGAACCTAAGTTCATAAGAAAAGAACCAAAGGGACACCACCAACAACCAACGAATGGCACCAAGAACGCTCAATGCCTACCCCCAAAGCCCCATCCTCCTATACTACACGCTGCGGCCGACACCCTAAACCAGCAAACTGCAAGCAACAAGCCCCACACCCTAAACCCCTGCTCTGAACACCTTAACCTACCAAACCCTACTTTTTTGTAGGGTCCCTATAAACTCCATATAAGGGTGTCCCGACAAAAAGTAGGTTTTGGTAGGCTAAGGTATGTCCTAATCTGACCTATATACCCCATGTTCCAAACCCTGAACCCCTGCCTCGAACCCCCAAACCCCAAAAACCCCGGGCTCTGGCCTAAATACGCCAACCCAGAGGGTCCGAGTACCCAAAGACTAGGGTTTTAGGTCCCAAAATCCATACTCTGAATGGTTTCGGACTTTGAAACCCTAGTATTTAGGTACTTGCTTGGACCCTTGGGGCAAGTGACTCAATTCTAAACCCTACATCCCTAAACCCTAAACCCTAAACCCCCCCAAACCCTAAACCCCCAACGGCTCTGACCTAAATGCGCCAAGTGACTTGTGCCGGCCCTTCCCGGGCGAAATGTTCAGTCCCTGCGCCTGGGGCTCGAGACAATTCGGCAGCTCAGGATTCCTCCTCGGAGGTTCCTGGGTCCTTTAAAGGGGGATCCTCCTATAGAGCCATGGGTCCTTTAAAGGGGATCCTACTATAGAGCCCAAGATTCCTCTTTGGAGGTTCCTGGGTCCTTTAAACCTAGACCCCCCGATCTAGAAAGTAGATCCCCTAATTTGGGGCCCTATACTACTAAAGGTACTTTATAGGAACCCCCATTAAAGGATCTACTTTTTGGATCCTCCTGGGTCCTTTAAATGCGATCCTATTATAGAGCCCGAAAGTCTCCTTTAAAGGGGATCCTACGGCTGATTATATAAATTTTGCATTACACATCAAAAGGAACATACCATATTTCCCATAGTTTAGGGTCATTAAGGTAATGCAGGATTTACATCATCAACCGTACTATAGAGCCCGAAAGTCTCCTTTAAAGGGGATCCTACGGTAGAACCATATAGTACGCTTTAGAGGACCAAACTTGGAGGTTCACGGGTCGTTGTAGGTAGGGTTACTTGAAGGGTTCTATACCTGTAGCCGGAAAGACCTACCTTTTTCGGGTTCCTTATTATGGCTTCTATATATAGTTTTGTCTAGGCTTTGGGGATTGAGGTCTAGGGTTTTTATAAGTAACTTGAAGGTTCATGGGTTTTTGCAAGTTGTAAGGGTTTAGGGTTCCTTTAAGTATTCTACAGGGTTTAGGGTTTAAGGTAGTTATGAGTTGCAAGGGTTTAGGGTTCCCTTTAAAGGTTGTATAGGGTTTAGGAATTGGGGTTTAGCGAATCTACAAACAAGTCTCCAATGAAAAGGGCTCTTTTACCAAAAACGGGCTCCGATTGAAGATTTCAGACATGCAAAGGAAGAGGCTCCAAGAAATGGGTTGCTATAGCCCTAAGCCCTAACCCCGAAAAAAACATAAACTCTAAACCCTAAACCCTACGCCCAAGACTGGAGGTTTCTGGCCTTTTCAGTTCTGTCTTCTTCTGAGCCGGCACAAGGCTTTTAGTCCTTTGGGGCTTTAGGGCTCCAAGCAAAAGGTAGGGGGGGTGGTATTTGGGTTGAGGGTTTTAGGGTAGTAGCTTGAGGGTTTGGGGCTTAAGGGCCACAAGGTCTACGAGTTGAAGAGTGTTGCGACTAAAGGCCTTATGAATGACTGGGTTCCCCACTGCCCCCTTCACAAATGTAACCTTTTTCTTTGGTATTCAGCCTCGGTAACGGAGACAAAAAATACAAAGGGCAACAGGGCACCACTGAGGAACCTAGATTACGGGTTATGTGGCTTCGGGGCTCAAAGGGTTCAAATCTAAGGTCACCAACATGATTCTCGTCTTGAAGTTCAGAAACAGCTCCAGGCCGTAATGCGAAGCAGCCCTAAACCCTGGACCCTGAGACCAAAACCCTGCACTGCACTTGTTTTGTCAAGCTTCCGGTTGCCGGACTGCTTGTATGACGAGGCTACGACGTCTCGACGGCTACTTCCGTTCGTCGTGCTGTGCTCCTCTAGCCTCTGCACTGGGGCAGTCGTTTTTTCGGGTTTATGGACTTCTCAGGGCTTTGAGTTTAAGGTTTAAAGGTCTTTTTATAGGATCCTTAAGGGGGGGTGCC